CTCTGGACTGTTCTTTGGAATTACTGACCTTTCAGGCCTCTGAAAAACCTGGTTTCCATGCCAAAACCTGAACACACCTCAAGCGTGTTGTGAAGTGACACCATCTCTTCTGTTTGGTCCAATCTGAATCTGCTGAGATCTGCTGCTTTGCCGCTGCTTAGCACGATGAAGTGAGCCTTCTGCAGCCTGTGGCTTTCATTGGGGTTGAGGAAGGTAGAGCTTCTGTGCGTTGTGAGAGCCTGCTGTGGTAATACAGGCAGTCAGTGGAACGATTGGGTTGAAAATGTTTTGTCCTGGCGTTGGTTGCTAACTGAAATAAATTGCATCTTTGAAGCTGATTGTGTCAGGCCCTCTTGGATTCATTCAGCAGACATACACACATAGGCCTGCTTGCCACAGCTTAACAGCAGGATTTGTACCACACAGTGCTGTAAACCACGGCCCTAAACCTGTTGAAGCTTGCTGTTCTAGCCACTCTCAATATGGGAACTTTGTACAACTTTTTCTTTTTTAAAGAAGTTGTTAACTCATTCAAGCTCATCCTAAAGAAAATACTGAAGCACTGCAGCACGGAGCAAACTGATATTCCTGAACTAAGTTGGTTCATTAATGATGCGTCTTCTCTACTCTTGGCATTAAGAATACCACACAACTCCGCCAGACTCCGATTCTTCATCCAGCAAACTGGTCAGCAGGGCAATTGCAGTTGCTCTATCTTAGTAATGCATATGATACCTCAATGCTATTAGCATGAAACCAAACTGTATGGTGGTCCTCTTAAACAGTTAACAGAGCCTTTGGAAAAGTGCTGTTTGAAAGCAGGCAGCTCAGCAGTTTCCCATCCTCTCAGAAGGAGTTCTGCAGGGCTGGGCTGAGGACTCCAACTGCATTCAGTAGCAGGGTGAACTTTTGCACCTAGCACTGGATTTGAAATCAGCTTGAATTTCCCCTGTAAGTCCTTCAGAAACATGAAGGTGCAGTCAGTGGTCTGTAGTAACAAACTCAGTAAATGCTAGCAAATTGCCAGTAAGTTAAGAATAGAAATTTGAGGTTGGTATTGAAAACAATTATAAGAATAAAATCTCATTTTTATTATTTCAGGGAAGCACGGCCCTAAAGAGGGTCCTTGAGAGGGCATTTTTTAGTGTGTTACTGTTATCTTTTTGCAGGTTTTGCTTTCACTGACATTAGATCAATGTATCAAAGAATTTTTGCACCATTCCCCCAGGGGAAGAGTGAATACATAAACCTCAGTCACAGAAGCAGTCTTGCAGCCCTGTCTAAGGGACAGGGAAATTTCAGCCCTGTGTAATACAATTCAGCATGGAAAAAACTACTGGCCTTCCAAAGATGATGGTCTCTGTGTCTCAGCTCTTTTTTTTTTTTTTTTTGTGGACAGATGCTCTGGGCTACCTGAGTGCTGCAGCACATGACAGGTGAGAGAAGATCTGTGACTCCTGTCTTCAGTCTGAGCTCATTTATTCAAAGAAAAGGACTCACAGATAGGAAATTGTAAAGCAATTCAATTCAGCATCAAGTCTGTGGAGTCCCAGCTGCCTGCCTCAGAACTAGGACACGAGCTGTTTGGGGGATACTCACACAGAAAGGGAGACAGGCCTCTCCAAACTTGTTAGTAGATCATTTTCAGCTGTAGAGCAGCCTTGCCTTCTATTCTTATCTTTGGAAACAAGGGGTGACGGAAAACCCTATGATGCGCTTTGCACAAATACTCTCTGTTCATTTCCTTTTGTCATTTCCTTGTTGCCTTCCTGGGCACGAAGCCAAGCCTGCTAACAATCGCCACTCACCAACTCCTGAAATACACAATTGTATGAAGCCGGAGCAGGTGTTCGTTCTGTGAAAATGATACAGGGAGGAGAAGCTTCAAAACTTAGCGTGTTTTAAGCTACGAATTTCATCACTTCCAATCTTACTTTTGAGCTCCCAACTGTGAAATACTCTAGTTTTGATAAACTTGTCGCTCTACTCTGCGTTTGTGAAAGGTAAATACCACAGAGCTTGGTGTTTGCTCGTGGTTTTGAAAAATGAAAACTAAAGCAAGGTGAGAGTTTTACATTGCAGAGCTGGACAGAAATGCATTTTTCCTCCTGTTTGAAACTAGAGGGAAAATATATCCATAGAACAAAGTTCTACAAAGTTCAAATCAGAGATGTGGTTACAAAAATGGTTCCTCTATAGGAGGAACGTTGTCTACAGTTTTGAGTAAAATAGAACAAAAAAACCCCAAACAATCCCATTGTGAAAAACTGAAAACATTTCAATGATATTCTCTTCAAAGCTGCAATCTCTTAGGGACCCTTATTCCAACAATCAATCCTTAGAGTTGAACAGAGCAGAGAGGCACGTTTTGGGGAGGTTCTGTCTTTGAAGCATCACATTCCTACTGCTAGAGCTTATTTTCAGAAGTCCAAATTAAAATACATATAATTTGATAACATAAACAGCAATCCAGACCCCAGTATGAGTACACCTGTGAGTATACACTCTAAGTATTCTTCAGTATACTGTAGACCCTCCATTTCTTAGGTATATGAATTTTAAAAAAGCTTTAGATGCTGGCGTTGATCCCTATAGATTTGTCTCCACATGAGGGGTGCTCCTGTCTATGGGCAGGAGGCCCTACTCTAACTCACTCCAAAGTGCTGCAGTCAGAGGTGAACACAGATCACAGCACTTATAAGATACAGCATTTATAGACCGACCTTAAGAGTGAACTTGGGAGTAGCCCACCAATACTTATTCCTAGTCCAGTTAAAACAGCAGAGAAAATCTAACTAAAAACAAGCTGCATTCAAATTAAATGTTAAATCCACAAAGCCACTTAGATTTGAGTTTACCTTCATAGAGTGAAGGGGGAAAAAAAAAAGCAAAAAAACCCAACAACCACGCAGCTCACCTTAAGTGCCAAAGCACAGCCAGTCCAGAACAGTTCTATCTGGGTTCTAATGAGGGAAAAATGCATGGAATGAAGGTTACAGATTTTTCTTTTTCTTTTTTCACTAAAGGCAAGATAATGGTGAATACTAGGATATTAGATAAATACCTGAAAGCCAAACAACTGCCCACTTCCACGAATGCTTGATTTAATAATACGTACCTCACTGATGCATCTTAATAGCTTAACTCTCCTAATACTGGTTTTTAATAACTCAAAATTAGTTTGGGAACTAATTATAATTCATTTTCCTTGCAGAACTCATGCACAGGTTACCTTCTTGTGTGTACTTCCCTGTTGCGTGAGCTGGAAATTACTCTTGCTCCATCTCCCAGTACACAGATCATTGATCCAACCAGAGCGTTCCAGGTGCTGCCTACACCTCCCCTGCCAGCCATGCTATACCAGCACTGTGCATCATGTTGAAGCTAGAGCCTTCAGAGTGGCTAAAACTGAGGTAAGCAAATAGAGAAACCTCTCACTACATCTGAAGTCTCAGCATGATCTGATTCCCTCATTTTCTTAATATGCTGCACTACTGTACCTTCACGAAGGCAGCTTTCCTATTAGTGAGTTTCAGGACCCATCACGTGAGCGGCTCTGTGCTGCTGCAATGCCCTCACAGCCAAAAGCACATTTCTGGGGAGTCACCTCCAGACTCACATTGATCAGGCTGTGCTCAGCAGCCTCTGTGGCAACAGGCAGGAGGAGTGCCTCACATACAAGCTGCAGTCAGTAGCTCTACCATTAAGATGAGGGATTCCCACTCTTCTGCAGTGAACTTCATTTTAGTGGTTGACAACAGGAAGAGAGCAGAGAACTTTAAACTTGAAGTCATCAGTGTAATCTCCAGTAGGGACCTATGGAAAAACGTCACATCTTTGAAAGGAGAGAGAGGACTGAAGAGTGGCAAAGGTCATTTGTTTATAAAAGAAATACTGAAGACTTCAAAATATAAATGGTTAAACTGCAAAACTGTGGCTTTTATTTCCAAACATACAATAAATAGGTCCACCACAACTAGCCTCTAACTTCATTTTACATGGAAGGATTTTAAAATTAGTTTGTGCATATTTAAAAAAAAATAATAAAACTTCCCTTTGCACATAATTCCATACATAACCCAACTGCATTACATACCAGCTTACGGTCTTGGCACTGTGATGCAAGCAACCAATTGGAAACGGAGCTTTGTGGCAAGAGATTGAACAGAAATCACATTTTGTACTGTTGATGAAACGTGCCAACAATTTAATCTATGTCTGAAGTGTACAAAAAACTTTTAGCATGTAAATGCTGAAAAGCAAGTCTCCTTGTGGAGGCTGCAAGGTAAGTGGATTTATTAACTGTTTGCTATTTGCTACATGATATAATTTTCATACCAAAATACCTTTACTGCATAGTAACATTCCATATTTTCAAATGCAAGAAGAAATTAAATGCAGTCTTTTTGCTTTACTCCTCGTCGCTGAATTTAAAGACATTTTTAACCGTAACTCTGCTTCATCACAGTGCAGAAGGCCCTTAATATTTCAAGGATTTATTCAGGCATATCTTTAATACAAAAGTAGAGGCTGAGGAAAAGCCAGAGTAGTCTATACACAATGCACAATCTGTGTACATTCTGAAGCTGTACCTCTTCAAGAACTACTTATACACTCTTCAAACAAATCCCTTTATCCAGCAATTCAAAATACTTTAGATCAGAAGTTTTATATTAGAATCAATACATTATATGCATATAAATACATTTATACCCTTCGGTTGCTGAACAACCCAGATGGCTGTGAGGATGTGACCTGAACTGGTTCTCCACTGGTCTGGGATACCAAACTGTATTGGCAGCTCACTGTTAACACAGTCACAGTAAGAAATGGAGATCTTTGCACAAGGTAGGTGTGCTACAGCATCAGTTAAGACTAGAAATAGTAGGTGACA